GTAAGGTTAGGTTAATATATAGGACTAACCGCCAGGGTTGCATATGCCGATCGCATATCATCTCGCATCCAGAAATGCCTCAATTTCACCATATCATAGTAAGTTTTTCTGTTTGATATACGGGAAGTTAGGTAAGGTTAGGTAGGTTTGTTTGGTTAGTAGCGTTTATTTTTAAAATATTAATTTTCTAACATTTTCAATACAACAGTGTCCACTATGGTATAACAGTGAAAAAACCGGCGTTTTTATAATTGTTTTCAATAAATTTCATGAGTTAGTCCTATATAATTACGGTCAGGTTAGGTTTTGGTTATGGTTTATATGCCTGTTTTGGTATTATTTTCTTTAAACATTCCCATTTCCTACCACTAATCTATTATCATATTCTAATAAGACGTCTAATTATAAGATCATTTTCATCTATTACGTTACTGCCGGAAATGTATAATAGCAAATCCAAAGTTTTCTCCTTCTTCCATTAATCTTCCGCCATTATCGTTTGCATCTCCTCCAACACTGTGTGTCTCCTTCATCATCCACGCCGCATGCGTTCCGTCCCGTCACCACGACCAATCAAAACTTTTTTTGGGGACAACCAAATAAAATTATTTTGGGTTTAATTCGTGGTATTTTGGACCAATCAAATCGATTTTATATTTCTCTCATATTTCGAAATTCAAGTTCAGTTCCGTCCATGGAAGTCTGCGATGAGTGCCATAAATTATGGAGCTGATTGAGAGTTTTGGAAAAAAAATAACGTAAAACTGTAGCATTTTTCAATCACATGGTGTTCTTCCAACCCTCAGTAAAAAGTGTACTAAGAGCAAGACGGAATGTAAATATCGCAAAGACCAACATATGTGACGTTGGGTAAAATCCCAGAATGCACCGACGAACAAGAACCAGGCCAATAAGGTAAAAATAGGTGATTCCATCATATGGTGAGAGTCAGTTAGGTTAGGTTAGGTTAGGTTTGGTTATTGTTTTCTAGTGTTTTATTATTGTATTTGTTGTTAGTCTTAGGCACTTTTTTTTCTCGGAAAACGTCAAACGAAAAAACAAATCGCCATAAAAAGACAAACAGCTAATTGCCGCCAAAAGGAATCCTATTCGGTCTCAACACAAAAATACACTATAAAAAACATAGTTTTGACTTTATAACAGTCCCGTGCACTAGTGCAAATTTACCCTATATTTCCATTGTAAACTAGTGTCTTGAGTGAACCTTGTTTCTCTTCATAGCTCTTCAACATCTTGCTGGCTTCCTTGTACAACTGTGGCACAGGAACAGAGTGCACGTACTCTTCCGTCATTTTAAATGTGCTCCCTTTACTTTATATTCCTCTTAAGTGACATCAGCAATTTAACTGAAAATCCACAACAATTTAACTGGTCAACTCAGCCACACGCTTCAGCAGCTCCGGCACCATCAGCAGGAGGGAGTGTTTACCGCATGGGTCAAGTCACTTCTCTATGATGTACTTCAACAATCAAATATCTTTACGTGAAACAATAGAAAAATTATATCATGAAAACTTTAAATTTAAAATTATTAATATTCTTAGACTAATTAATAAATATAGGAAAGCATCACTACGAAAAAATTGGGTTTAAAATGTTCTATATATTTTGCACCATGGTGTGGCCAGGTTCAGCGGGGGACTCCTTGAAGCTCGCTAAGAGTTGTAACTTCTTAGGTGGAAGAGGACTTACTTTAGTACATTTAAAATTAAAGTACCATAATTATAGCCCATAATGCATTAGTTTGTAAATTTCGGCCTGTAATTCGTCTAGGTAGTGTATATAGTACCATACACCTTATACTGTACCTGTAATGACCTCACCAAATGTTTCCTACGGGTACTCTAGTTTCCTCCTGTACTAACAATCGACAAAAAAAGTCCATGTGGCAATAGTAACAATAACACGTAACAAAGAACAGACCAAATACTCGAACGGGAAGTGAGCTGATAATAAGTGGTGAGATGATAGATAAAAAACGTTTACCCATATTGTCTATTATCATCATTATCATCAGTTAATGGTCACCCACATGTTGAACAGGGCCAGGTTGTTGTGGTGATAAACGCTCACAACAAACATTTAAATCACACAATGGCTCGTAAATGTGTTCTTAAATGTCTGAGTAATCTCCACCCACCGATCGTATTGCCACACAATCAAAGCTACGTTATTGGACGGTCCAAAGAAACTAAAATTAAGTCAAAGCGGTGCTCTAAACTCAAGGTAAGACGTGTGGGGTGGCCAGGTAGTTGTCTTGGTGACTGGCCCAAACAGGTGAAGAAGAGGAAAGTCTTGGTAAATGGGTTGTTTTGTGTGTTAAAGCCACGTACTGTTATTTACATCAATCCAGAGGTCCTCATCTGATCAAAGACTTGTTTTAATGAATATATAAGAAGGAATAAAAGTTCCTATTATATTTTTTTTTACTGTTTTCTGAGATTCAGTTGTACAAGATGTTGGGTATGCATAGTAACACAAGAATAGAGGAAACTGCAGCGGCCCTATTGGCCCATACTGGGCAGTCCCGTTTACACCCAACCCCTATTGCTCATATATCCACCCAACCTATGTTTGAAGCAACATATTCGAGTTAATGATGATATTTGTAACTTGTTCCACTCATCCACTACTCTGTTTCCAAACCAATGTTTACCTATTTTGCTCTTAAGTTTAAATTTGTCTAATTTAAAACCATTGTTATGATTTTGCACCTGGTTGGATAGTTTGAGTACCTTTGTAAGGGTCCACTAATACCCAATAGCCGCAATGAAGTCAAATAATGGTCCTATGAAAATCGGACTGCATCACTTCAGTATTTGGTGTCAGAAAGTCACAAAAATTGGTAAACTTAATTTAATCTGAGTTAGATCAAGTGCATGTACCTAACCTAACCTAATCTAATCTGATCTAACCTAACCTAACCCCACCTAACACAACACAACTCAGATTAAATTAAGTTTACCAATTTTTTGACTTTATGACACCAAATAATAATCGAAGTGATTCCAGCCCAATTATGCTGTACGACCATCATTTGACTCTTAGCGCTACATTTGGGTAATCTCGCCGGTACATGCACGCGATCTATTAACTCCGATTAAAGTAAGTTTTCAATTTTGTGACTTTCTGACACCAAATACTAGTCAGAAGTGATTAGCAGTCCTATTTATTCATGTAGGACCATTATTTGACTTCACTATGGGTACATTTGGGTAATTAGTCGACCGCTTTGTAATGTCCCCTTTGTTCAGCCCGACTATTTATACACCTCTCTCATGACATTGAAGAACAAGCTACCGTAATATCTGAAACAGATTAACTAGACAGTTTAAACAATATTTCCGTAGAAGATAACTTATTTCTTACCTCAACAATATCCCAAGATAGTAATGTGGATTTGCTTGTAATTATGCAGTTTACAGCAACCACAATACACTACACTCAATCGATAAAACTATTTTTTCTATGATAATTTTCTTATATTACACTTCCGCCGCAAATTAATAATAAGGAAGTTATTGAATCAAGATGTGCTGGGGGATGCCAATCGGGGTACGCAGCCAATCAAATCTAGGGCAAGGGTGGCAGAACCAAATCCCCAAAATCTCAACTTTTGATTCAACCAATTAGCATTCAATATTAAAGTAAGATGCAGGACATTTTTAATCAGTTGCAACATGGAGCCATAATGTCCTGGGTGTGATTTTGATTATTGGAAGTTTATCGATATTCTTATTCTAAAAATAAGGAAACTTTAGAGAACAGAGGAACCCACGATGTATTCTGGTCTCTGACTCGGAGTAAGGTAAGAATACTTAACGTTATTTGTACAGTTCTCATGGAGGCTGACCACGCCACTTTAGGGTTACATAGCTTGGGGGTCCAGGGCTAAGCCCCACTCACGGATCAGGGTCTGGGGCAGAGCCCTGGCTAGGTTGTTAGGTAAGGTTAAGTTTGGTTATAGGGTATAAGTAAGCAAGCACAGAGTACCGGAATTCAGAACACACAACCAAGAGAACTATATGAGGGGGGGATCTACATCACAAACGAGTGATTTCCAACAAAAACGAAGGTCAGATTTGAACTAATCACATCATTTTTATTTTTTATTATTCAAATTCCATGGTTGCTGTAATATGCACATTTACCGATTTGTTGTTTTCCTAAAATATTTTGGTTAATAGTTTACCAGTTACAGTAGTTTGTCCTGCTAGAAGGAGCTGTTTTAGAAAGTCCATAGAAGAATACGTGTTTCTTACCTCATGAATATCAAGAAAAAAAGGTTGAGTAATAGGTTTTTTCACCCATTCTTCCTTGATATGAGAAGCTGTTTTTCTGGTGTATTTTACTCACTTATAACCTTCATTAATTTTCTTGGAAAATTAGTTTTTTTTCTAAAAACTTACCTAACCTCCTGGAGTGTTATCTTGTAATCTTCAGTCAGTGTCTTACCACTGCATCACAGGTGCATGTATTTTATTTTAGCTTAGGTAACACTTTTAATACAGTACTATACTACATTGTATGGTGTTTTTAGTTTATCTTTATAAACTGACCAGGTTTAGTATGGGTAGAGATGTTTATGACATCACCTCAGCATCTTCCAATACAATACTGTACAGTACTGTTATTAAACTAAAAAAAAGTGAGAAAATCAAATTTAGATTTTTCATGTAAATTGAAACATTTAAAATAAAATTAGCTGTAAGTTCAGATTTTCATAACTGAAATCTTCAAAAATGGAGATTGCCTGTACAGTACAGTATTGAGGAAAAATTAACAAATTGTATAGTATAGTATAGTCTTTTAGGGTTTATGAAGCTCAGAATATAATAGATTATGTATTGTTTACATTCACTAAAAGATTATTCTGCACCTCTATGGGGTTATACAATGACACACCAGACCAAGTAATCTGATAACATTCATCACGGCTTCTGTCACAGTGATCAAGTGGATGGTTTCAGGCAGCCACGGTGCAGAATATTTTTTTTAGTGAGGGTGCAATAATGTATACAGTATGGGGTGTATTAGCAAATGAAGTTATTTTATATATAAACAAAAACCTCAAGCCAGGTATTTGCTTCATGTTTCAGTTGAGTTGCTGGCAGATTATACGCCATACACTGTGATTGTGAGGCAGCTTGGACCTAATGTGACTGGTGTCAATAATAAGGGTCTTTGTTTGGCAATACAGCCTTTTAAAACACTCTGATATCCTTGAAGTAAGTCTTTGTAATGTATCCATAACAAGTAATGATTTGATTAGATTTGTGGATAAAGTAGTACAGTGCAGGGGTCCCCCGGTTATGAAAGGGTTCCGTTCCTGAGGACGCTAGTCAGATGAGTACGTAAGTCGGAACACATACTATATGCATACTGTATTTAAAGAACAATGTTTAAATTCCACTACAGTATATCATAGTCTAAGTCCTTCTATACATCTAAAATCACCCAATTTAAGACAAAAGAAGAAATAGAATGACAAATACAGTAAATGAAAGTAAAAAATAAGTCATCAGGTAAATAAAATACCAGTACTGTACTGTAAATTTCAAGTTTAACCCCATTCATATCGCAGGTGTTCAGAAGTTGGGACCTACAGTACAGTTGTTCTCGTAGAATCTATATCAGGTGCTCTATCATATGTACATAATTGTACTGTAGAATTTTTCTGAGGTGCCATTCTGATCACAACACAGACCTGGTTCCCAGAGAAAATTAGCATATCTTTGAGAATGAAAAATAAAGCAGAACTTTAAAATTTCTAGAAATGTCACAGCTTATATCAAGTTTACCATTATATGTCAGTGGCTGGATAGATAGTCAGCCATCAAAAGCCAACCATCAGGTCTGGGGGAGCTTAATTTATCATGTTCTACATTTTGAAATATTGGATGAAGCATCCCTATTCAAAAATTTTTCAAACATTTCTGGACAAGGTGTAGCATCATGATTTCATTCCTGATAGTTTTAGCCAATATAAATACACTACCTCTCAGAACAATGTTTCACTGTAACACTCATTCAGCGGGAGGATGTTTTTTCTAATAAAAATTACTGTACAATATTACCCCGCCTAACGCGTTTCACTTTACGCTTTTTTATGATATACGGTGCCTCTCGCCAGAGCTGAACTTTCACTTAACACGATTTTTTCCACATATACGCTGTGAGTGTCCGCTCGAGACGCTTATTTTAGATTTGCCCCACCCGCCAACCCTGCCTGACTTCCTGTTTTAGCTCATAAAATTCATACAAATTACTGCCAGAAATAATTTACATTGCTGAATTCTTATTAGGATCATTTTGAATATAAACATCATATATTTTGCATTAGACATACAAAATTTTAGATAAAAATTTTTCTGGGTAACTATATGTTATCTTTTGTGCAAAATATATGACATTTATATTCAAAATATTCCCTGGTCTACAAGGAATCCAGCAATGTCAATTATATTATCCTAACTTTAATCTGAGGTATTATTTAATACAAAATGTTAAAATTTATTTTTTCACCCACTCTTCTCTTGAAGGAGAGGATTGGTGGGGAGGGTTGGGACTGACCGCTGGTTGGAAGAGGGGGAAGGCAAAGGGTACTTTGATTGACAGATAGTGTCGTGAAGAATATTTTTTTTTTATTAACTGAAGATATTTGTTTTAGCTCATAAAATTCATACAAACACCGGTCAGAATATAATTTACATTGCTGGAATTCTTATAATTTGGTGATCATTTTGAATATAAACATCATATATTTTGCATTAGACATACAAATTTTAGATAAAATGTTTTCTGAGTAACTACTGTATGTTACCTTTGTGCAAAATATATATTCAAAATATTCCTGGTCTTACAAGGAATCCAGCAATGTCAATTGTATTATCCTAACTTTAGTTTGAGGTATTATTTATTAAAATTTAGTGGTTTTCCCCAAAAATTTCTCAGAGAGGGAAGAGCCGCAGTGTAGTGTGAGAGGGGAGGGAGTCGAGTCCATTATTTGAATGGACATTAACTATGGTACTGTATTTCTTATTTCTCTTAAGTATTAATTGTGTGCATGTACCATCATAAAATTAAGATGTTATTTTTACTACAACATAGTTATGTGTCTTCAAAAAGTGGAATTTGGGGGTCGGGCCGGTTTTCATTGGAATTAATCCCATATGTTCTGTTGTTCACTTAACGCGGATTTCACTTAACACGGGACCCTCTGGGTTCTATTGACCGCGTTAAGTGGGGTACAACTGTATATGAAAATCTATAAAACGGTTCAAAAATTTTGCACAAGATCACTCAAATTGCAATGTTCTCATCTTGTTATCTCTGAGCCACAATCTCAAGTACTGTACTGTATTGTACAACCATCTTATTGTTTTGGTTTGGCTCCAGCAGCAGTAGTTTTCCGACATGTGAACACGTTTTGAAAATTGCTGGTACTGTACTGTACTTTAAAACTATTGCTGCTAGTACAGTACTAGCCAACAGTGAAAATTGCCAGTTAAGGTTCCTGTCTGATGCTGCCTTTAGCAGCAGCCACTAACAGAATGACCAACATTAATATTGTTTACATTGAAGAAGGAAATTTGATATGTGTGGAAAATGTGTACAATTCAGTATTATATTGGACTTAAGAAAGATGTTTTAAATTCATTGACAGATTCTTCTTGGTGAATATCATCACAGGATAGAGTTTGACCCCCCTCCAGACACTGCTTCATCTAAGAGTACTTGCCACACAACTGATATAGAAATGCCCAGAAGGAAGACAGTAGCAGCAGTAAATCCAGTGAAAACAAATTTCTGAAGATAATGATAATAAGCAAAGCAATCAAAAGAGACTGAAAGCTACAGATAATCCAGATAAAGGTGAAGGAGGCTGGGAGACGTATGCAGATGGTGATTTGCTTGTTTTTAAGAAGAATATGGCTGGAAGATCTAAGGTATGTACAGCACTGTACAGTATAAGCATTACTTGACCATTATAAATCATTAAACATTGATATGATGAAATGTAGAGTTTTGTTATTGTAATGAGGCATAGTGACAAGTGAGAGATGTGTGGTACAGTAGAAGTCCAAAAATACGGACTGCTTGGGGATTGGGTCGGTCTGGATTTCGATTATCCGGATTCTCAGGCAGTACTTTTAAAATTCAAATTTAAGAAGGGATAAAGAAGAGATGAACAGGTACATTTTGATAGTTTATTCATTAGCATGCTTCATTTATCAAAACGAGCAGTTTTAAAGAAAAAGCTGTGAATTCTATAATTTTATTCTTTGCCTTTTTTATATCATAAATTGTAGACTTTCCAATGTTGTATGTTTCCATTAGAACAGTATTGCTCACACCACGTTCTATTTTAATTATTTAAAGTTTGTCACTCAATTTCAACGTGTTCTTCTTTGTCTTCACACATCGAAGTTTATCTACTTAGGAGCCATTATTATGGGCTCTGTAAATGGAATGAGTAGGACTAAAATTACATACGTTGTCACAGTTTGATTGCTCGTTTTAAAGTGGCGACCGCGTGGTCGCTTGTTGTCACTGTGCAGCTGTGGCGCTCATGCATGCACACACACACAAAAGCCAGCTAAAAAAAAAAAGTTTGAGTTTCGAAGTCCGGATTCTCGGGTGGTCCGGATTTCTGGCATCCGGATTTTTGGACTTATACTGTATACATGATGTTGAGGTGGTAGAATATACAGTGTTAGATTACCAAGTAGGAACCAGAGCATGTAGGGAGGCAAGGTGGGCTGTTATATCAAGAAGTTGAGGAAATATTCACAAGTTATGTGAATTTGTTTCTTGTCTTTCCATATATTGTATACATTGGTAGCAAGCTAATGCATGGAGTACAGTACAGTTCTTAAACAATACTGTACATGTCCGTTACTGATGATCTCTAGATTCTCACATGTATGATATCCAACAAATTATCTCTGTCATTTATTGAAAAATACATATCACTTATGGGAATGAATATTACACATTTTTTTAACTAAGGAATGTAAAAGTGTGGGGAAAATAACTCTTAGCTCATATGTACTGTACGTACTGTACATGCACAAAAGGATTAAAATAAAAAACTTCTTTTCATTACTGATTTAATCTAACATTTATGTGTCATTCTACAAACAGTAAAAAAAAGTATCGCACGGGGGGAAGTCTGCTGACTTCCGTAGTGATCCATACATCACCTGATGTGTTCATATTCAGTTATACCATCAACTATATATATGGCCGGATATGTCATTAGCAACAGATGTGAGGACACCCTCAGGCAGGGACAGCAGGGCTACCACCATAATACAGGACCAACACGCATATTCCACTATCCCTTGGTGTCATTACAGGCTTGTTGGTCATAATGTGCTTACATTAAGTGCTTGGTTTTATTTTTAAAATATTTTTTTTTTTTAGATTGCTGGCTATGATATGGATGGAACATTAATAGTCACAAAATCAGGAAACGTTTTTGCTAAAGACTATAATGATTGGAAGATCATTTACAGTGAAGTTCCTGGCAAACTAAAAAAGTTGCATCAAGATGGATACAAAATAATTATCTTCACTAATCAAGCAGGCATTGGTGAGTAAAGAAGGTGCTTGGCAGTGAGGCTTAATAATTAATAATGTCTAGTCTCCTGTGATCACTTTAGTAATGTTTTATTGAATTTGTTTGTGTAAATGCTTGAAGATAAGCATGAAAGTACAGTATTACAAAATTACTATACTGTACTGTATACTGTATACATACTTTACTGTACCTACTTTTCTGCACCAAAATGGTATGTCGGTGATTTTCACGGAGAGGTGATGTACTGTATTATCTGATCTATTTTGTAGGGGTGGTACCTGCATATACACTGTACTGAAAATATTTTTGTGATAATTTTTTTTTCCAGCTGCTGGAAAACATTCAGTTGCAGGAGTACAGAGGAAGATTAGCAGCATCATTGAGAGGTTGTACCAATCCAGGCATTTGTATCAACAGGGAAAGGAGAGTACAGGAAACCTGCCTTAGGCATGTGGAATTTCTTAAAGAATGAGGTGAGTGTGAAGTCCAGCATTACAGGACTGTATATGTTTTAAATGCATCATACTGTATTAATAAGTCAGATCAGTGATATAGTTAATGTAGTATAAAAAGGATTAGTACACGAGGGTTAACTGACTTGCCTATGTATGACCAATAATTAGAATCCATAGTTATTTGGGTCTTATGTTTTTTGCTCAAGGAGAATAGGCAGAGTATTATTCCATTTTTTATTTAATAAGTTTCTTCTCTGACTTTTCTAGATATGAATAAGAAACAAATATAAAAGTTTGTTTGGTGTCAATTTCTGCTACGAGCAGAATTCCCTTGTGGTATTCCTCAACTGCATTCTTAGAATAGTATAGTTACTGAATTAATTGAATCAATGAGGAACATGAGTACTGTAATAGATTGTATAACTCATAGGTAAGATGCTTCCAGGAGTTTAACAGATTACAGTAGCAGGAACTTTTTGATATCATTAACCTTTTCACTCTGGGGAGGTTACTTTTAATATTTTATTTGGCTAATCCCAAGCAACTTTATTCAGCTCGGAAGGGAACCCATGCACAAGGGGTTAATGTTTTTTTTTTTTTTTTATGTGTTACAGAAGAGTACTGGTTTTAAGGGCACAACTGTCTAGTGAAGAGGTTTATGGTCCTGGCTAAGACTGTAATGCACTTTTTTTGGGACTAGGCAATCCAAGATAGGAATTTGTAAGGTTATCTTTTTTCCCTGCTTAATATTTTGTTTTATATGTAATGTTTTGAGCTTATCTTTTGTGTCATTAGTATGTCTTGTTTAATTTTACTGTATAGACATTGTTATATCCTTGAGCTTTCCTATTTTGTATACAAACTTTGCACCACTATATCTTGAAATACAATACTGTACTGTATATTAAAACTCTACATTGAGTATTTCTTCAGCATGTAGAGTTAATACATAGTTTACTGTTAAAAGATAGTTTGATGTTTTGTGAGTAGAACTGATTTACGTCAACATGCTTTTATTTATTGGCATTTATGACATTAAGAATTTTTTACGGATTTAGCCAACTCTTTTTCATGCATGTAAATGTTCCACCCAAGAACAGAATGACATCATGGGACTTCATCACGCAATATTCTTCTGACTCTGTCTAGTTTTGTTAATTCCAGTGAAGTCATTCTATTATTTTGTTTTCATTTTTCACATGATCTCTACCATCTGCTCAACTGATCTAGTTCTGTATATACACACTCCAGATAATGACACCTTCTGTTGTGTTCTGCAATCCTCCTCCTCCCTGCTACCATACTGTACTGTACTGTATAGGTTTCCTTATTGAGCTTTCATTCATTAATATTCAAACTTATTGGTTTAATTGATAAGATTAACCCTGGCTGAGTGTTCCAAGACTGTAAACCCCTGTGTGTGATGGTTTCATGTAGTTTTTGATCAGGAGTTTTTCAGAATTTTTTGTTGAAAATATAATAATAGAGTTTATAAATATTGTTAATAACAAATAATTAGTTTTAGAACATTTTTAAAGGTTGACTTGCTTTAAATGTAAAAATGATTTATTAATATACAATACAGTACAGTATACTGTATTGTATATACTGTACTTTTATCACACCTACATGCATTAGAATATTTTCACTATTACAGGCAAATGGTGGAGTGGATATAGATATGGATGAAAGTCTGTATGTGGGGATGCTGCTGATCGGCCTGCAGAAGGGTCTCGAAAAAGAAGGATTTTTCCTTTTCAGATCGTTTGTTACCCTCAACATTGGGATACAGTTTTTCACACCTGAAGAACACTTTTAGGTAAGCATACTGTATATTAGTGATTTGATGATTTAATTGTCTATCATGGAAGAAACTGTTCTGTATGTGAAGTTAATCATGGAGACCTAGGCAAGGCTGGAGAACTCAACTTTGGGATACAGTATATCCCTGGACTGTATCCAATGAGCCCGTGACTCAGGTGACATGATCAGTGCTGGAGGTGGTGCTGAAGCCTGCTCAGAAGTGGCTGGAGGAAGTTTAGGGAGTTGTTGCCTTTATTGGTGGCAAGGGACCTTCCCTCCATGTGAAAGGAAATATGTATGCAATTGAGTGAGGAGGTGATGTTGTTTGTCAGTGAAACATGGATGGTTAAAGTGGATGACATAATGCAGGCTTGAGCAAGCTGATATGATAATGGTGAGGTGGATGTACAATGTGACGCTGAATGATAAGAAACCCTGTCGAGTTAAGAGAACCACTGGCTTTTAGAGTATTGGTGAGGTTTTGCATAAAGGTACAGTAGGTTGATATGGTTTAGGCATAAGGGGGAGAATAGAAGAGAAAATTGCTTAAGAAATGCAAAAAGAAACAAATATAATTATGAAATTGATGGTTTGAATTTATAGGCTTTGGAGTGAGGGAGTCAGGCTAAATTACCTACATATCCTAAAGCTTGTGAATATCTCCAAGATGTACTGGTGTGATTAAGTAAAGCTACATATGTGTTCCATCTGCTGGGGATTGTTCGACCTACAAGGGCAAATAAATATTTCTATCATTTTCATCCAACTGTAATCTTTGCTTTAACATCATAGTTTCAACTCTATTTTAAACTTATAAACTTGCAGTCTTGTTTCAATAATTAGTCCTAGCCTTATCCTCCAACGGTTACACTATATTGATGTAAAAAACAAACAAAATAGTCATAATTCCACATCATGAATTTTGTTAATTGCAATTCCATTTTCACTTTTTTTTTAGTTTAAACATATCTGTAATTTTGTGATTTCTGTAATTGTGTGTCATAGAGGATTTAAATAATGATGAACAAATGTAAGAACTGTAAAGAAAAATATTTCTTTCAGGATGCCAAACTCAGAAGTTTAATATGCCTGAGTTTGACCCTCGGGTCTGTGGATGACTACATTATTTGATCCACCTTCCAAGAGTTCCTAAACATGCTTGAGGTCAGTAATAAAGTTTAATAGGCTTCCTTATGTGATCAAATTAACAGTAATAAGTTATTGAATGTATCTTGTGGTGATAAATGAGAAAGGTTTGTAAAAAAGCAAGTTTTGTCAATTTATGTTAAAGATTGTTAAGTCATCCATAAGAGTGCAGTGGCTGAATGGATATAGCACTCACATCCTGTTCCAGAGGTTTATGGTTTGAGTCCCCGGCGCCCCAGTTCACCCAGCTGTAAATGGGTACCTAATTATACACCTTGAGGGAAGTGGTTGCGGTCGAGTGCAGTACCAGCCATGCTGCCTCCTTGTGTACCAAGGCTTAATATACTGTACAAGTGCTGTATCCACTTGTCCAACAGGCAGTGTCATGCCTATGGGACCCACTTTCACTTTTCAAGTCATCCATAAGATCCAAATTTTTCTTTTTAGGACATCCTGAGAAGTTTAGGTTGATCTGGAGTCTTGTTAGGGAACCAGTTGTGTTAATGTAGTGTGGAACAAACCATGCACTTGTAATATGGTTCATAATTATTTTAAGTTGGATTGCCCTTCTCCAAGGTCAACCCCAACCAAGGCTATTGAATTCCATTTTAAGGGTTTGAAAGGAAGTGTTTAGTCTTCTCGGTGACACCTGGCCATGGCTGTAGAGCTTCACCAATACTAGTTGGACTGGGGAGAGTACTGTACCACCAGACTACCAGAGTGTAATTGTATTCACACATCTGCAAGTTATAACACCGCAGCTCCTGGAGCTCTAAGTGTACTAGCAATATGCAACTGAAACGTAGTCACTGAT